ACATGCCTGAGAGATTTAATCTCCTCCAATTTACTATAACCTGGCCACACTGGCCTGTGAGCAGAAGAAGCCTTGAAAATAATAATGCCTGATGCTCATGAAGAAGACTTTGTGAGCAGCAGCAGATGCGTCAAAAAAGATTTCGAATCCTAAAAATAATCATCTTTACTCACGAGTGCTAATCTACAAAATAATAAAAGGAAAAATTACCATGGTAAATAATTTCAAGTTTTTAAAGTAAATTTTTCAAGAATTTAATGTATATCAGTAATTTTATAAAACTAGATACTGTATCACGCTAGAAAATGTACATTTATCAAATCAACAAAAACAGATAACCATGTTGTTGTTGTTAGGGGCCGTCGAGTTGGTTCCGACTCATAGTGACCCTATGTACAACAGAATGAAACACTGCCTGGTCCTGTGCCATGCTCACAATCGTTGTTATGTTTGAGCCCATTGTTGCAGCCACTGTGTCATTCCATCTCGTTGAGGGCTTTCCTCTTTTTCCCTGACCCTCTACTTTACCAAGCATAATGTCCTTCTCCAGGGACTGGCCCCTCCTGATAACATGACCAAATTACGCGAGACAAAGTCTCGCCATCCTCGCTTCCAAGGAGCACTCTGGCTGGACTTCTTCCAAGACAGGCTTGTTTGTTCTTCCGGCAGCCCATGGTCTTCCTTATTCATTGTACATCTTTCACATACATATAAGGCAACTGAAAATATCATGGTTTGGGTCAGGCATACCTTAGTCCTCAACATGATATCTTTGCTTTTCAACACTAAAAAGGTCTGTTGCAGCAGATTTGCCCAATGCAGTACGTCTTTTGGTGTAAATAACTACCACGCAAGTTAAAGAGATCATGGTCTTCTGAGAAACCAAGAAGGAGCGGATCTAGAAATCTCAAAGAAACAACTATTGAGAATAATTTCCTTCAGACAACTTTCAGGAACACAGTCATGTAACATGATGTCAGATATTACCATAGATTTTTTATTCAACTTACAATGCAACTTATAAAATTAATAACAAAGATAGCTCCAGGATATTTCCCGTGGAGTTGCCTTAACCACACAAACTTGTGGGCATTGTCCTACCCTGATATTTCCAACAGCCCAGCTTGACATGCTGCCAACCACTGGGAGGAGAAACATGCTTTTATTTATTAATCACTCATCTCCCGGATTATAGATGCACTCAGTATTGAGAACAGTTTTGGTGTTCTTTCTGCACATAAATGATTTAGTAACCTTTAGTTCAACAGAGAGACCACCAGAGACAGAAGGCAATAAATGTATCTCAGGAAACAAACACATCTATTACATATGTGACTCAGATGTGTTCTTATTCCCTGGTTCACATTCCCTTCTTATACAGCCCTGTAAGTTGGTGGTGTGATACAACTTTTTACCAGCATTGACAGCCAAGTCAGGCCCTTCTAGAATATTCCCATGAATATTATATGATATCATTATGTCAAAATCATATCACTCTTCTGACATCCTTCCATACTTTTCTTTTTCTTTCCCCTTCTCTTCACAGGTTTCTCAACATTTAGTGTA